TACCAAATCATATTTCCATCACACACATATACAAACACATACATACACACACACACATATATATATGTGTGTGTGTGTGGGTGTGGGAATAAGTGTTAGTCCCACAAAGATTTTTATCAAATTGTTGTACCAAAATGATTACAAACATAATATTGAACTATTAAAGTCAAACACATTAAATTTTAAATTTACTCTAGAGATAATCTTAGTATATCATGTCACATGATGATATGGTCTCAAAATAATTGTATGAAACACAATTTTTATGTGAAGTTAGGTACTCCATTAGCATATATGAGTGTTTGTGTGTGCATATATATGTGTATATATATATATATACATACACACACACACACACACACAATATTCAAGCATTTAATTGAAAGGGAAAGAGAATGAGATGGCCCAACTCTTGCCCAAGCAATGGGCTTTTTGCATGAAAAGCCCAATTCCACTTATAGATTATTGCTAGATGGGCCTCCCAAAGTTATTAGATTTTATCATTTGTCAACAATTTTAGTATCTTGAACAAATAAATTTGCTTTTCCCCCCCTTTAATTTACAAATGTTCTTATTTTGCACCCCAAGCCCATTATTCTTGTCTACTTAGGTCCCCCCGGAGTCTTTATATTGGGCAACAGCAAGATTGATTGAATTGTAGGATCGGTTTTGTATGGTACCAACAAAGATTCTAGGGGTAAGACTGTCGAGCGAGCACAAGGACTGATTAGGGACGGATGGAAGAGACTGACCTCGTAACTGAATGAAGCACAAGAGTTACTGACTTTCGGTTAGTATGAATGTATGTAAATGACATAAGTGGAAGTCTTGGGATAGTGAGTTGATTATGAATACGTTGATTATCTGTAATCAATATAGTATCATAACTAGTCAATCGTACTTATACTAAGTTAACTAATTTTACTATAACTTTTTTGACCTTAATAATTAGGATTACTATGACTATATGATGTTATAATACAAAAAAAAATATATATATATTAATTTAATTAATTACTATTTAATTTAATAGTTGGTATATTTTTTTATTATTATAAAATATTACGAATTTAAGTAAAATTATATTTTTATTTATTTATATTTAAATATTATTTTTTATCGTATTATAACTAAAATTTATGTATCAATTTTTTATAAATAAAATATCGTAATAACTATAATCGTACACATTTGTGAATAATAATTAATTTTTAATTTTTTATGTTAGTGAAGCAACACATGCATGCCTGTTGAATAATCTCGTATTTATTGTTTAATTAATTCCCATTTAATAATTAATCACAAAATTAATTAGCACTAATTAATTTATTATATGACTTTTAATTAATTTTAATTCACATTAATTTAATGTTTTGACTGATTTTCCCGTAGATTTCGTGTGACGTATGACCTTGATTATATGTGTACCGTTGCCCAACATAAAATTAAGAATATGGTTGTCATGAATAGGATAACGTACTATATCTATATATATATATTATATCTATATATATTTGTAGATATACAGCTTCAAATATATATATATATATATATATATTAGGTAATGTAACATATTAAATTAATTATGAATTGACCCAAAAAAAGAAATCTGATTTGTCATTTGTACACTAACATTTCTGATTAATTATAAAATTAATTAAGCAAATCTGAAGGGATCTATTTAAATTACTTAATTAAGCTATGAGTTGCCATGTGCACTGTTTTAAATATATAATTAAGTC